CTTGAATTCGGTAGGGAATTGTGTACTTAGAAAGTAAGAGCTCTAAGTATTTTTCTACATTTTCTTTTCCTTCTTAAAATTTTTATTCAAAATATCTTTTCTATTTTATTCAAGAGAACATTTTACCGATGTAAAATCATGCTATGGTGGTCTAATTGTTCATAGGATATTCCAAAATAAAGGGACTCTGGAAGGTTTTCATGGAGGATAAACTGCCATCATATGATGCAAACTGTGCTTCTCTGTGATACTGATAATACAGTACCATTCAATGCAGCCTATACAATAATGTAATTTAGTCTAACACAATTGACCCTAATTTCTGACATTTCCATTGTTTGAAAAAACACATGGGAATAAAATGCTATATGCTTACAATGCACCTAGAACTTTTTAATAACAACCTTTTTTTGGTTTTGGAATCTTTACATTAGTATTTTTTCGTTTAGTGCCCTCTTTAACCAGAATCTCATAACTCTTTCTTTTTTGTAATAACATTTAATTTACTTATTTTTTATATAGTGGCCCTGCTACAATAGAATATAGCATCTTTTATATAATGGGAACCAACAAGGGAAATTTCCTTTAACTCCCTTTTTATATTTTTCATAATTAGCAACAGGAAAATGCATATATAGATCATTTCTAGACAAATTGTGAAGCTAATGACTGATTTGTTTCTGCCTATATGCATTGTCTTTGTTTTATTAGCAGTGGGCATTATGGTCTGTTAAAGAGGAAAGAAAGTCATCATGCTGTGTTTAGTGGCATCCATATATTACATGTCTGTATTTTTTGTTGTATTGTAAAGAATTTCCTAATCAACAATGTTATGATGTTATAAAACAAATGAAAACAATCAAACAAATGAAAAAAAACAACAAAAAAAAAACAAGACATTAAGGCAGAATGTACTTCCAGATCACATCAGGGACAGACAAGATATCCCAGTATCTCAAAGACTGTGACAAGTCATTCGGTAGGATGTGGCCCTGTAAATCAAAGGCCCTTCTCTTGAGAGTCCCCCAAAACAGAATTTCTTCTGCCCAAGTACTTAGTGTAGGCTCTGTTCCCACAAATGCCCAGAYGTTCTTCTATCTGCCTTTGATTTATCAGAAAAGGGTAAAGAGAGACCTAGAATCTGAGAACCAGCTGCTCATATTATGAGGTGGGTGGGGGATGAAAGAAAATGTTCTAAGAAGATCATGGCCAAGGGCAAGAGGGAGCCAGGGTTGTACTCAGAAGAGAGCACAGGAAGAGAGGCTCTGAAGAAAGTAAATGGACATGAACCACCACTTACCAGAAGCTGCAGTTAAGACAGAGACCAGTAGATAAATGGGTCTCCCCAGCTGGTTCCCTCAGRGGTGAGGGAAGAAAGATCCTTAACGAAAGGGACAAAGACAGAGCTTGGGGAGCAAGAGAAGAAAGAGGAGTCAGTAAAGGGGGGGATGATTTTACTGGTTTAGGAACCAGTTGCCTAGAACAGTGAAAGGAAAAGACAAGCCCAGGGACTAGGGTGTTAAGTAGCTAGTCAGCCATGATGGGTGAGCAGAGCAGGGACAGGAAGGGAGGCTGAAACTGAGGCTGGCCAAGGCCCTGAAGGATGGGTGAGACTCCCCTCTCACTCCCCCCATAACTTTATGGTGGCAGCGACAGGTTGGACCCAGGACCCTGTGGGCTGCTGATCTCCTAGCCCAATCTTGCCCATCCCAGCTGAGGACAACGCTGAGGACTCTAAGGATGTGGCACCTTTGGGAGGCACCATGTGTGGCCTGGATGGTGCTCATTGCACAAAGGCTGGCCAGGGCTTTCAGGGCCCATGAAGATATGTGGATACTCAAGTGCTTGTCCACTTGTTAGGCATCAGAGATGAGCCAACCAGGGCCCTCGGTGACCGCTAAGTGCTGGCTCCTGGAGACCACACTGTCCAACAAGGCAAAGGCCTTATCCACACTGAAGGGTGCGAGAATCCCCTGAGGAAGGCAGATAGAACCATTAGCCAACCTCAGCCACTTCCATCTCTACCACAGAGAACYAGAGATACATACCCTATTTGGCCAMTGGGAAATGCCCACTACCTGTTGGGACGATTTAGTGCCCTTTGGTAGACGAACTGTGTGTATAATAGGAGAAAGCTGCTCTCAACAATGCCCCCCTGCCTCCACTCCCCTTGCACTAAATACTTCTGCTGCAAAATAATTAAGCACACAGGGGGAGTCTTTAACTCTGGAAAGGACCAGTGAAGCTTAGCCAGTGAGGGGGTGGGGCAGCGAGGAGGTGGGAGAGGACTAGTGGAAAGGAAGGGTTTCCTAAGGAGAGGATGGCACTGTAGTTTGGATCTGGGATGTCCCCCAAGGTCCATGGGTTGAAGATGTATTCATCAGCCTGTGGGGATCCTGGTAGATGGGGGAACCTTTGGAGGTGGGGCCTAGTGGAGGAAGTTAAGCCATGGGTGGTGTGTCTTGGAAGGGAATATTCAGGACACCAGCCACCTCCTCCTTTGCTTTCCAGGCCACAGTGAGTGAGAATCTTTGCTCCATCACTTACTGCCACCATGATGAACTGTCCTGACACAGGCCCAAGAGCAACCAAAGAGGCCAACCAAGCCTGAAACCTCTGAAACTGTGACCCACGATAAAGGATYCMTCCTTTCATGTTGATTATCACAAGTACTTTGTCACAATAAYGGGAAGCTAACTATCATTGGTCACAACTGTRCAGCYCCAGAGTAAAGGCAGAGYRTGGAATAGTTGGAAACTGCAAAAAATTCTATGAGGCTGGAGTGAAGGATTGATATTGAGAAATGGCAAAGGGGGATAGGAGAAAAGGTTAAATCAGGAACTATCTGGTTAGCTCTCAAAAAAGCTTAATCTTTATCCTAAAAGCAATGGAAAACTATCAAGTCTGATCACCAGAGGGGGGACCCCCTTAGCAGGAATGTAGCTGGACCACTTATTGTAGGCTTTCTACAATCAGCTGTGCGCCTTTGTGTTAGTCAGCTCTTCATTGCTGTGGCCAAAACATCTGACCAGAATGACCAGGAGAAGGAGATTTCCTTTTGCTCCCAGTTGCAGAGTCTCCATCCATGGTTGACCAGCTCCAGGGCTCTGGACCAGGGATAAGGCAGAGAATCTATCACTATGGAAAGAATCACCTTTAGTGTGTTCATGATTTTTAAATAAAGAAAAAAGAAATAAAAAAGTGTGCGTGAGGATATGCAGAGAAATTGGAATCTCATACATTGCTGGTAGGAATGTGACACAGTTTAGGCACTGTGGTTGGTGGTTCTTCAAAAGTTAAATAGAATTATCTTATGAACAACAATTCTATTCCTAAATCTGTATAAACACAGAATAGTGTAGATAGGTATTCAAGCAAATTCACAAACATGCAATTTCATAGAAGAACTACTAAAAACACACACACACACAAGGGGATAGAAATCCAAAGTCCATCAATGGATGAGTGAATAAAACAATTGTGTCATATTTAGGTACTGGAATATTATTCAATCATAAAAAGTAATAAAATACTGATACGTGCCACAAAAAGACAACCTAGAACACATCACAGTAAGTGAAGAAGCCAGACACAAAAGGTAATATATTTTATGATTCAGTCTAAATGGAATACGCAGAACAGGGAAATCCATGGACACAAAAAGCAGAATCATGGTTGCTAGTGACTAGAGGGAGGAAGGGATAAGGATTAACTGCTTAGTGGATACAGATTTCTTTTGGAGGCAATGAAAAACCTTTGGGCACACAGTAAAACTTGTGGTTGCACAACACCTTTGCACCATGTATTAGATGGCTCTGAACTGTGAAAATGTGGATGTCATTGGGATAAAAATATCTAAAAGGAACAATAAAGTTGTTGATGTTCAACAACTTAAAAAATTACTACAGAGGTCATATAGGATCAAATTATTTATTACCACACTATAGCATTTAGAATATAATCACAAATCTTGGAGACTTTAAGGCCTAGTCCAAAGACTAAGAACAAAAATGATTAATAAATAAGCAATACAACTATCATGGGCAGTTATTGTGAAAGTTCAAAGATGTACCTCTGATTATGGAGAATGGGAAAATGTCCTGAAGAAGATGACATTAATGGAACTTTAAGCACTAATGGCATGTCATTGTTTGGGTTGGAGGTTGAGGAATGCAATACCACCAGGCAAGGTATCCTAGCTGCAACGGGGGTATGTGGTAGTTCAAAGCTATTCAACTGTGCAATCTGGTTGTCATAGACACTGTATAAACTGGGAATACATATTAAAGAGCAGGTGCCAAAAGACCATGATTCTGTCCCCATGTGTTCCTAGCATATATTGCAATGCATAGCATTGCAATGGTGATTGGTGAATGCCAAAGGTAGATAAAATGTTCATTAAAGTTTTTTGTTTTTTTTGGTTGTAGATGGACACAATATCTTTATTTTATTTATTTTAATTTATATGTGGTGATGAGAGTCTAACCCTAACTTGCTAGACAAGTGTTCTACCATGGAGACACACCTTCCTTGAAGTACCAGGAAAGCACAAGATAAGTAGAAGGAATTGCATGTGGAATGAGTGGGAAATGTGTTAGGGGCCATCTGGGGAAAGTTTGCAAGCTATCCTATGCAATCTGTACTGTACGCATAATACAACAGGGAATCAGGACAGTCTATTGGCCATGACCCTGGTTCTATGGTACAAATGAGTGGGCAGTATGAGGACAGCTCAGTGTGGTGCATCATCAGATCACACTGGCAAGTTGTTCAGAAGGCTTAGGACCCTGCCCTCATTTTTCTACTTGGTGTTCACCTAAAGGTACATCCTTATGAACTGTAGTGAAAATTTGGGGACATGGAATAAGGGAAAATCTCCATGGAGAGGAAGTTCAACCCTTAGGGAGATGAGAATACCACAGAACAGAACAGTGTTGGATTCATTATGCCTGATGAAGAAAAGGAAGGGGTGGTCAGCACAGAATGTTGGTGAACATGAATCACAGTAACCCACTGGCTGCCGCAGCCTCAGTGCCTTCTTCATTCACCTCCATGACACTCTTGTGCACAACCTTGGACAGACACAGGTCTGTCTCAGTTGACATGGCAGACAAGTCAGCCTGGCCCTGTTGAAAGGCATTGACYATTCCCAAATGCTGAAGCACAGACTCCATGTCATAATCCCCCTGCAGTTTAAATCTCGGAAGGAGAACTTCCACTTCAGTATTATGCAAAGAGGCTGGCTT